AGGTGGTGATGTTGCTGGGGGACTTAAGAATGCAGCACCGCTTCTCTCTGTTGTCGTTCCTTTTTATAGACACTTCCCAAGGCTAAGCTAATGCATGCGACCATACCCGCAGGACAACTCGGAATCCCGTCTGCTCTTCCCTAGATAAGCCTGCGAGGGCCAGATTAGTAGTTTGGTCGGTGACGACAAGCGAATCCCTGGTGTTGCATGCTTTCTTTTTGTTCCATTCTTTTCTTTTTGGTGTCTATTCTCCTCGGATATTCTATCCAGAATTAGTACTCCTCGTAGATTCAGGTCTTTGCCCAGTTCCTTTCTTCTTCCTGTTGGTTTCAATGTTAGCACTATAGCTAGCCTGTTCGCGGGGTTATACTCTATGCCGCAGGTGTTGGTATCGCCCCATAGGACATCGCTTATTCTTTAGAACTAAATAATGAAAAGGATCTCATGTAGTTGGAATTGATAAAGCTACTGAGGAGACTCATTCGATTGAAAACAACGGGCGAAGATTCCTTCCACCGCTTGCCTGGCTGCCTATCCCAGCGCCTCGAGTACCCTTCAGCAGGACTGGCAAGAGCTACGTCAGTGGTATGTTAACTGCTCGCACTACAACAAATGGAAGAAGGGGAGGCTACCCGGGTATGTTACATCTACTAGCTATAGCCTTCGATGCCCATTTCCCTTCAACCAGTTTTGAGAAGCGATTCGATCCCGTTGCCGGCAAAGGCCCCCACCACCGGCTTCGAGATGTGTTTTAATTCGTGCCGTGAGAACCCAGGGCTCCTCTGATGGACTGGGGATGGATAAGATCATCCCGTTTGCGGGAATGAGATAGTGGCTCTCCCGACTGGGGATTAACTTCCCTTTCCGGGGAGCGTCGAGAGGGCGGACGGGCATCGGCCTAAAGAAATTTGTATGCCTAAAAGCCTTTTGAGGGGGTACTGCTGCTATGAAAACCAGATCGACAAGGCACTAACTCGGCAAAGGTCATCCGGGAAGCAGCTGTATCTTTGAACCTTTGCATCGGTGCCATGATGCTATCCACATGTGGGGGTTGCATAATATTGTAGACAAACTCGAGACTTGTGCCTCTCGCTTCGGGCAAATTAGACTCGCCCATACGCCTCAAAGTGCCTTGTAGCATCTAGTTTAGCTTAGTCGTCGCAGGAAACCAACTAGCCTATAATTAAAATAATAGTAAAGCATCCCCAGCGAGCGCGCAGCGTGTGGATCTTCCATCTTCACAACTCTGGGATCTGCATCGTAGTCGTAACATATGGCACCCACGACGGAGAAAAAGGTACCGCTCTAGGCCCGAGTCATGCGCCGATGTATTCAAGCAAGCGGGCACCGCTTCAAAGAATCGATGGGCAGACGCAGCTCATGAACACGATTCAAAAGAAGAAGAGGCGGCATTACTATGTCCTAACGAAGGCAAGGCCTCTTGCCTCCTCTCTCGGATACGAACAAGTTCCACACTTCATATTTACTGCCAGTGCGTCAAGAATGACTCTCCCCTCCCTCCACTCCTCGTCCGGCCTCGAACCTCGGCTAACCGGACATCTTTTTCCGTCGGTTTTGCCCTCCTTTATGAAAAGCCTCCCGCTCGAGGCGAGAATAGACGCCTTTTAAAGCCAGAAACCCCACCTTCTCTCCTACAAATATCCTAATACCGGGAAAACGCACGTCAGGTTTGGTATATCTTTCATATTCTCGCAAAGGCTCACTTCAGGGCTCCGGCATGTCGGCTCCGGAGGTAGTTCCGGCCGGTGCGACACCCACCCGCTTAATACCCAAAGCGGAATGGATAAATTGTAGTGGAAGCGGGGCCCGCCACAGCACGGGGAGGAAAACCTCGGTTGACCGAAGGAGAGGAGCTACTTCAAAGGAGATTAGCCACCATCTTTTCACCAATCAACATCTCACCTTCATCCCATATGGTGTAGTGGTTAGCATAACGCTCTCTCATCTCGATGTGTTCAGCGTAGACCCTGGTTCGATTCCTGGTATGGGAGATGTTCAATTCTTTTTTTGCCTGCCTGATCTCTTTCTACCCGAGTCGAAATCATCTTTTCTGTCTTTTTTGTACACCTCTTTCTCTCTACAATATCCAAATATTCTCTCCCCCATAATATTCACCATCAGTTTGTATATTCATTCCTCCTTGTCTCCTGACTCTACCTCAGCATCCCCCTCTCATATTGGCAAGCGGCGGAGTGTCGTTTCCGGCATCGTGAACCCTGACTTCCCTTTTTCCCCCTTCCAGCACGCATCAAGCCCCTCTCTACTCTCTGCAGTTCCCTGCACTTCCCCGCTACCTCCCCTTTACCATGCAATGTGAGACGCCTCCACGCAAACCGGGATCTTGCACAGAACCGCATTCATGAAAAGAAAAAAATATCAATGTTTATCTAAAACAAGGCAGCTTTTCGATATCTCACAAAACGTGTTTGTGTGCACACTACCCCGTCCCGGCTCGGCCATCCGCATCCTCACACCCGACCGTAAACGGCAAGGAATGACGTAGTGTGGAGAGAGACGACAGGAACCGAGGAAAGGGGAGGGGGTGTAGGTGAAGCGTGCCTGTATCTCCTTTCTTTTTTCTCTTCTCTCTTCTCCCCTCCCTGGCGTGGTGGCGGCCCATGCTTTCCACCAATCCGTTCGTCCCAGCGTCCCGGAGCCACATCACCGGGGAGGGCGATCAAAGACTGGGAAAAGCGCTATTGTCTGAGACCTTTTAGGCCCATGTTTCCAAAGCTCCTGGGGGACAAGGTGGGCTTTCCTTATCGGATGGAGAGCGTGCAAATGACATCACCGTACCGATGAAGGGGGACGAGAACGACAATGGCGTGAGAAGGAAAAAGCAACGATTGTCGAAGTCTGATGTCCTGATGTCTCTCCTCTTAACCCCACACCCGTGGCTAACAACTTCATCGTTGGGACGCCGGAGAAGCTCGAATCTCGAGACCGGGGAGGAAGATCAATCACACACATACATGCATACCATTGCAGGAACTCGCTCGCGCCATGTCCTCCCCTCTTTCTTCTCCGGTTCTTGCCCGTGTGCGCTATTCCGAGTAAACTGTCGTACACGAGCCTCGGTGAACAGGGTTTATGTTACCCAAATGGACACACGGTTCACATACCCAACGTTGAACACCTGGAGAGGGCACACGTTGTACGATAGCGCGGAAAGAGTAGATTCCGGGACTTCCTTCCCGGATACACCCATGTGCTGTAGGACACTCGCTCTTTCACGTACCACCAATCTTCCCCTCGTCCGCCAATCCCATCGCTCGTCTCACGCTTTCTTGCTTCGAGTTGTAAAAAGATGTACGTACACCAAGGGCAGCGGGGAACCGGCGTTCGGAAGGTACCCTGTGAGAGAGAGCGCGCATCATCAGTCGCTGATCGTCTTGTTTTTGGGCGTGCACGAACCGCCAACGCCCGTGTGCAGTGAGCTTTCCATCCGGTAGGCCTCTTATGGAGCCAAGAGATAGATGGGAAAGTGCCAAAATCCGGGTTTTCCATCCACGTCCTCCTGCGTTATTCCCGCGCTTCTTTTGCATTCGCATCTCCTGGCGCAGGTACCATCCCAAGTGCTTCCCCTGCTCAGGCCGGCGTGGAAGGGGATGAAAGCGGAAACCACCTGCATCAAACAAACACATGTATGGCCAGGAAAAGAGGTGAAATTCAGACTAGAGAGGGAAGCGGTCGCATTCCAGCCTTTCTATCCTACTTCCAAAAGGGGCAACGGTAATCAGGAATCACAGGACCGGCTTCCTAGCTTCGATAACCTTGACTTGTGGTGCAAGGCATCCGTAAAGCGCAGCAAGTGATAGAGTGCCTTGTAGATTTCTCTTGAGATTTTGGTATCTCGGCCGTGACCGTGAGTTCGAACAAACTCCCCCAACCATTACGCTAGGTGCACCCTACGGGATCCTGCCGATTTCAAATAAGATGCTATTCTGGCTACCTGAAAACCCCTCCAGGCCTTCTTATTACGAAAAGCAACAACAACCGTGAAGCTGCTAGGTACTACCACCATGGTAATGAAAGCGAAGAAAAAAGAGGAAAAAGAACTTAAACCAGTCTACTGAACGTGACGCCTTGAGGCTAGCGGTTCCTTCAAAATCCAAATTCCTCTGCGCTCAAAGCGTGCTCCACTCCAAATGGCCCGGTACCGAACGCCGGTTGTGGGGCCGCACAGATTACGGACAACGACATCAATATCCGGATGGAAGCTCGATAGCTTCACCATAGCCTGGGAGGACTATTACAAGTCCCCCAGCTATATCGTGGGGAGGTTAATTAATTTCTCGTCCTCTAGTTAATTCTCCCCAAGGGGAAGGTCGGCGCGCCTTTTGCCAGGGAAGAACTTTTCCGCCCGGCCGAGCCTCCCATTCGTCACTATTCTTTGAAGCCTTATGAGTGCCATCGTTTCCCTTGCACACGCGACAAGGAGGATCTCTCCCAACATGACCTTCTACGCATTCATACGGCCCATCAGAGCACTGCCTTCCCCGTTGACGGTCGCCCCCTTTAATCGTGGGACGGGGCCGAAAATGAAGGGCACTGTTGGAGGCTAATGCTGCCTAGCCCCCTCATTATGTCCATCTCTGACGGCATGCAACTCCAAGTTTCTCACAAGCCTGCTCTGAAGCCCAATCATTGGCCCCAATCCTGTAGGTCGCGCTTCAGCTGGAGTGGGGTTCGTTCAAATTAAGCGCCACTGGCGCAGAGGCTAGGGGAGAACGGGGGATCAGCTTTCAGCCAAGGCTGCGTGGTAATCATGATGAAAGCGGGGTTTGGTTTGGGACCGAGACTCTCTTCTTGACCTGTCGACCCGTTATCACTTCAAGCATTCTTTCCTGACCAAAGGTTGTCATATTTGAAAACTCACTTCAATCTTTATATATATTGATATATATCCATGGATATATATATGCACTGATCACACCCTCAAAGCCTCAAGTTCCACTGCTGCGTCGAAATGGCACCCCATGGAGTCTGTCGAGACTGGTACCTACTCGCTTACGGGAGCGTCGCAATAAGCCTGATGAAACTGGCTTGGCCAACCCATCCGCAAGCCCCTCTACCAGTTCCAACCAGGCTTCGCTTAACTCGGCGAGCGCCGTGTCGACGGAAATATTTCCCTCCGGCCTCGATATCGTAGCGGACGGCACTGATCCGATAGTTGAGTAAGTTTATTGTTCACGGTAGTCTCCCTCCTCCTTTTGCCCTGAGGCTGATCCTGTACGTACGTGTAGTATTGTCGCTGTCCACGGCCTCAACGGTCACCCTGAGAGGACCTGGACGGCCAAAAGCGGCACTCATTGGCTGCGTACACTTTTACCTGAGGACATACCTAATGCCCGTATCTTTTGCTGGGGTTATGATGCTCGAACTCATGCCAACTCTAGTCTGAGCTGCAAATCCCTCTATAACCATGGCAGAACCCTCGTGTCTGACTTATGTCGGGAGCGAAAGCTATCAATGTAAGGGATCCCTCGACCTTCCAGGCAGATAATAGATTTACTGACGGGGTTCATCAGTCTATACAGCGGCCGATCATCTTTGTCGCGCATAGCTTGGGCGGGATTGTTGTTAAAAGCGTATGTATGCCTTACAAAAGAACGTGACCGACCACTCGTTGATTCCCTCAATAGGCACTCATTCATTCCGACGCCGCGCGACGTGGTGCCCTCGAGGAGCACCGTTCAGTAAAACTATCAACTTATGGCATACTCTTTATGGGCACGCCTCATCAGGGCGGCAACGCGGTTCAACTTGGGAAGCTCGTGGTGAATATTGCCTCGATATTTGTGAATGCAGACGACCACTTATTAAAACATCTGGAGAGAGAATCGGAGTGGTTACAACAGCAGCTTGGCCAGTACGGCCCCATTAGCGGAGACTTCTTGACCAAGTTTGCATATGAAGAGTACAAGACTCCCACAATATTAGGGAAATCCATCATGGTAAGTAATACAACTCCTCCTACTTGTACAAGATTTTCTAATCCCGAACCCTCGAGTGCCCAATAGGTTGTCCCCTTCGCATCCGCCGTTGTTCCAGGCCAAGCAGACGCCGAACCCATCGCTATTCATACAAGCCACACCGATATGGTCAGGTATGACTCGAAAAGCGATAGGAACTACCGAAAGGTCTCCGGTGAGCTACGCATAATGATGATGGGGGCCCTCGAAGCGATTCAGCAACGCTGGGAGAAAGAGGCGAGGGTTAACCATGGTACGTAGATCAAGTAGCGTACATGTACCTTTGTAAAGAATAAACGAAATATATTAATGTATTCTTCCCAGCTCGTTACGAGGGTTCGGAAACATCATTTGCCATCACATTTGGCCTGTCCGACGTAACCAAAGTCTTGCAATTCGTCGCAAGGGAAAAGAATTGACTCAGATCCACGACCTCCTCGGCCAGGGATCGGAGCGACGAACCGTAGTAGTGCATGGTCTAGGAGGATTGGGCAAGACGCAGCTGGTGGCGGAGTACGCTAAACAACATCACCGCGACTATTCGGCTGTTTTCTGGCTGAATGCGCGCGACACGATATCACTCAAGCACGGGTTCCTAAAACTAGCTGAGCAGATTCGCAACGAATATCCCCTCGTCGCCTACATCTCCAGTTCGGTAGAAAGCCGCGACCTCGATGAAGCGGTTAGCGCTGTTAAACGTTGGCTTGACCAACCCAAGAACAGCAACTGGCTCATCATCTTCGATAATTACGATACCCCAGCATTCCAAAAGGGTAAACATGTTGCACCAGCTCAACAGGCAGGCACGAATGAGCCGGATCAAGATATGAATGCCATCTCCAGCGCGTACGATATCCGACCGTTCCTTCCAAACGCCTACCACGGAGCGATCCTCGTTACAACACGGTCATCCCAGGTCAAAATTGGCCATCAGATCGCGCTCAGAAAAATGACGGAGCTTGACAACAGCCTACAAGTTTTGGCAAGCACGTCAGGCAGATCCAATCTCCATCAAGGTATTTGCACCCTCCACACATTCCCGCGCGAGGCTGGCCTAACCATTGAATGTAGATCAAGGTGCCATAGCGCTCGCCCAGGAGCTAGATGGGTTCCCGCTAGCGCTGTCCACCGCTGGCGCCTATCTTTCCAACGTCCAAACGACCTTTGTGGAGTATCTCGGGAGGTACAAGGACTCATGGCTCAAATTGCAAGAAAACACTCCTGAGTCCCTCACGTACGAGAACGGTGCGCTGTACTCTACGTGGAATATCTCATATGCGGCAGTCTGCCAACGGAACCCAAGGTCAGGGATGCTTCTTCGCCTATGGGCATATCTCGACAACGAGGACGTGTGGTTCGAGATGCTTCAACAGAGCCAACATTCTGAGCCCTCCTGGCTCCAGGATTTGACACGCGACGCTCTAGACTTTGACGCAGCGATACGAGTCCTATGTGACTACGGCCTCGTCGAGCCAGATACGTCATGCCAGGAACGTCGCACTGAATCGCCCGGTTACAGCATGCATGGATGCGTTCACATGTGGACGATTCACGTACTGAACCAGACCTTGGACGTGGAGATGGCACTGTTGGCAAGCGCGTGTGTCGCGGGCCATGTGCCTAAGAACACAGAGAAAGAGTACTGGGTAGTCCAACGAAGGCTCATGAGACATGCTGGCCGTTGTTCAATGGTGCTAAAGATGCCGGGAATCTCATTGACGAGGAGAGAGTCGCGGATCACCAAGTATCTAGGTATTCTCTACCAGGATCAGGGCCGACTACATGATGCCGAGGCCATGTATGATCGGGCGCTTCAGGGCTATGAGAAGGCACTTGGACCAGATCACACCTCGACACTGGATACAGTGCAGAATTTCGGCATCCTCTATAACAAGCAGGGCCGGCTAGATGACGCTGAAGCCATGTATGATAGGGCGCTTCAGGGCTACGAGAAGGCACTGGGACCAGATCACATCTCGACGCTAGATACAGTGCATAATCTCGGCATCCTCTATAACGATCGGGGTCGGCTAGATGACGCTGAAGCCATGTATAATAGGGCGCTTCAGGGCTACGAGAAGGCACTTGGACCAGATCACATCTCGACGCTAGATACAGTGCATAATCTTGGCATCCTCTATAACGATCAGGGTCGGCTAGATGATGCTGAAGCCATGTATGATAGGGCGCTTCGGGGCCTTGAGAAGGTACTTGGACCAGATCACACCTCGACACTGAATGCGGTGCATAATCTCGGCGCCCTCTATAATATTCAGCGCCGGCTAGATAACGCTGAAGCCATGTATGATAGGGCGCTTCAGGGCCGTGAGAAGGCACTTGGACCAGATCACACCTCGACACTAAATACGGTGCATAACCTCGGCCTCCTCTATATGGATCTGGACCGGCTAGGCGACGCTGAGGCTATGTATGATAGGGCGCTTCAGGGCTGTGAGAAGGCATTGGGACCAGATCACACCTCGACACTAGACACAGTACATAATCTCGGCATCCTCTATTGGAATCAGGGCCGGGTGGATGATTCTAAGGCCATGTATGAGAGGGCACTTCAGGGCCTTGAGAAGGCACTTGGACCAGATCACACCTCGACACTAGATGTAGTGCATGATCTCGGCATCCTCTATAGCAGTCAGGGCCGGCTAGGCGATGCTGAGGCTATGTTTAATAGGGCGCTTCAGGGCCGTGAGAAGGCACTTGGACCAGATCACACCTCGACACTAAATGTAGTGCATAATCTCGGCAGCCTCTATCAGATTCAGGGCCGGCTAGATGAGGCTGAAGCCATGTATGCTAGGGCACTTCAGAGCTGTGAGAAGACGCTCGGCTCTAGCCATGCTTCGACACTCCTCACGGCGCGCTGTCTCTGTGAACTCTTAGAGAAACAGGGCCGATTTGATGACGCCGAGGCTGTGATTAGAGCGGCTTCTCGTGGAAGAGATAGTAGATAACTATACTAGCATCTAGGCCGCTAGATTCTTCTACGGAAACTAATTGACATGCGGAGGAATACCCAGTGGAGATTTAACCCAACTACATCACGTCTTGCCTTGCTCACGGGAAAGGTACGGTATTTAGCGTACTTTGCACGTTTTCTTGTCTTTCCGGGACGACCTACCCGTCTGATGCATGCCGTCTCACTCCGTGCTGTCGGGATAGTCACGAAGCCACCCTTCTTCTCTCCAACCGGCGCACAAGCTCTTCTACAACAGATTCACGGAGAAGCTCCCCGGCCCGCCCACCCACATCTCACATGCCGGCAAAGAGAGCAAAGAAAGTCTACACGCGTGTAATTCGACGCAACCACTTACTTCTTCGGGCCACAAAAAAACCATCATCCATTCAGACGTACTCTCAAGGACCAAACATCTCGTCGACGAATGTGGAGCCAAAGACGTCTTCCCTTGCACTATAAAAACCGGGGGCGGGCCTATGGACGTCGAACTAATTGCCGTCTTTGTCATCCTCCGAGACAGCGAAGAAAAGAAATCGGAGCCACGCCCGGGCCCCACTTTTGTCGGGAAAACTAGCCGAAAGTTGCAAATGCTGTCAATGCCTGAGCCTCGGCCACCCGGCTCCTTTGTTCCACCCAGGTACGGTACACGTTCACGATGGGTTGGAAGAGGGCCAGGCATCTCGGAACCGAAGGAGAGAAAGAGCCCAAGGACTTCGGTTTCAATACACCGGTATTCATCTTGGGAGGCCAACTATCGATTTCATAGACCATGTAATGGACTATTTCGCTGTCAGTAGAAGGCGTACCACGCGTCACCTCCAGAATGTTCAATATTTGGCCAGATTATTCAAGACTCGGAACACATAGAATGAAGGCATCGTCGGGTTATCCTCAGCGCCCTCGGCTTTCCGACAATCCCCAAATTGCCCTCCACACTCACCATCCTTCACACAAAGTTCTCCCAGGAACATGGATCATCCCCTCTCTCAGCGTAGTACTTCCCTTTTGACAAGAGGCCTCTTTAAATTCCAGAGGATGTTGGGTAATCTCCCCTTCTCCGCCGAGAAAAAAACCAAGCCAAAAAAAGAAGAAAAAAAAGAAAAAGGGCCACCCGCCCACCTTTTCCCCGGTGTCTGCCCTTCTAGAAGGACCGGAACCCCAGACCGGGACTTCTTCCATCCTGTCACTCAAGCCAAGCGCAGTGGGGAATGTGGCAAAGAAATTTCCCTCCCTCCCTGCGTAGAGAAGCGCCGTGCAAGTAATAAAAAGAAAAAGAAAGGGAGGGAAAAAAAAACAAAGGAACAAAGGGAGGCGGATGTTCGTTTTGCCCTTTCCCTTTCCCTCTCACGCCCCCTTTCGCAAGCCTTCCCCACAAGTTCTGGCAGTCGGAGTTATTCGGGCCCACAAGGCTTCCTCGGCTCCTACCAGTAGGGAAGAAGAGAACAAGAAAAAGAAGAGAGAAAACCCACGGTAGAAAAGAATGCATGAAAAAAAGAAGGGAGAAAAAACACCGAGGGAAAAAGGACACCCCACATACGCTAGCTAGCCCTGCTTCTCTCCGGCAAAAGCTGATATCCGTAATGTCCTACGTGATTCCCCTGGGGGAGGGCCTATAGCCTAGACGTGTATCGAGCAAACACGAAGCCTTCCTCTAGCCCACATGCCTCCCCGACGGTGGCGCTCCCTGACCCATGAAGTCGTCGCTGGCGAGTGAGCCCGCCTTGTTTGCTGTGGCGGATGCGGTGAGGAGAGAGGATCCCGGAGGGAGGGTTCGAATAATGCAAGGCCAAAGTGGATAGCGAAGACGGGGTGGGGCTTGGTTGATGGTTACCTTTTTCGCCTCTTGCTATTGACATGGGAACCTTGGCTCGGGTCCGAGGAGGTCAATACATGAGGATAGCCTCGGAGATAGTCCCCAATACACGATCGAGTCCAGATATCGAGGACTGTGTACTGCAGAGGTAGAGAGGCTTCCCCATCCGAGAACGAGAAGGGATGGGGAATATTCAAGTCACAAGGAAGAAGCGCAAGGATGAATCACCATGAAGAAGTCTGTGTTTGTAGTGTGCGTGATGATGTTGGTATATAAAACATCGAGTATGACACTCGGGTATCTCTAGCTAACATGGCCTCTGCTATCCTTTGCAGGGCGGGAGTCCTCCTCTTCAAAGCCCTGTATGATTCCAAGGGCCCTCCCCTCGTCCCGTCTAATTAGGGTGGGGTATATTCTATATCAAAACACAAGATGCCATAAAAGGGACACCCACTGGTAGTACAGATGGGGTCGAGTGGAAGAAGAGAGAAAAAAGTCAAAATCCAAACAGAATGTTCCAGAAATATAAATGTAAAACAATGAAAAATCCAAGCGCTGCTTTCCCTAGGCTCCGAAATGCGTGCGTAGTCGTATCGATGATTGTGCTCTTGTTCATGGGGTATCTCGTGTGTAGTGTGGAGGCGTAGTAGATTGTAGTAGATGGTGTCTCAACTGGAACCTTGCCAGGAGATGTTCGTCATAGTGGTGGAGGGTATCAAGGTTGTTGTATTAAAGGGTAAAGGATAATAAAAGCGATTGCAAAATGCTGCAAGAGGAAGTTAGTCAAGCTGCTCCTGAAAAAGAGTTGTGAGAGTAGGAAGTGAGACGAACCTTGTGCATGCGTGATAGAAGAGAGAAAAGTAGAGGAATGAGGCATGTTTGCCTCATTCACTCTCGACAATGGTGCCCATGGTCACCGTCTTCTTGGAGCTCTTCTTGGAGCTCGCAGAGGGTCTCCTCTGCTTCTTGGCGGCGGCCTTCCTCTTCTCCTTCTCGCTGATGAGCATCTTGACGTACTCCTTCTGCATCGCCTGGCGTTGCCTTCCGAGCTCAGCTCTCGCGGAGCCGGAGAGGACCTGGACGGCGGGGATGGGAGAGGCGAAGGAGCTGCTGGTGCTGGAGACCGAGGTGGCGTCGTCCTCCTCGAAGGTGTCGACGGGGAAGAGGTCCTCGTCCGAGAGGTATGAGGTAGCGCGGTGCTCGTCGCACGAGGAGCCAGAGGACAGGACGGAGCGGCGAGGCCAGCTGGGAAGGCACACGACGAGTTGTCGGCGCGCATGGTGGAGGGAGAGATGTCCATAGGAGCCGAGGTGGCGGACGAGTACATGGAGCTGTAAGATCCGTAGGAGCCGTACATTTTGGCTTTGTGAGTGTGTGGAGGTGGAGGGTGTTTTGTTGCGTGTGCTGCTCGTTGGCAAGCTGTGAGTGTAAGAACTTTCCTCGCGGTGGAACGCAGATGTGTGCGAAAGGGCGAGTGTGCGTCTAAGTTCGAGATGCGTATGGGTGAATGTGTGGTATTCGGCGCCGAAGTGGGAAATCGCGAGGTATCGGATTTCCTTTATAGCTGTTTGGACACGAGAAGGTGTAGTTGTATTTGTCAGTTGGGCAGTGGGAGCCTGGGAGAATGTATATTGGTCTGTGGCGGAGGCCGGCAGGTTTTGTAAGTTGGTGAGCTGGCGTTGGTAATAGGTGCCTAAGCAAGCTGGTAGAGATGTTGCGAGTGTGTGAAGTTGGTACCGTACTATTGGTGGTTAGGTATTATCGTGAGTGTAAAAGGTTTGAGAAAAACGCTTGCTGGTAAATGCAGATGAAGGGGACGATGTGTTCAACGAGAGAGAGAAAGAAGGAGGAGGAGTGGGAAGGGCGAGACATGAGGCTATTATACTAAATGTGGGCATCGCGCTTTCTGGCATTCCCTTCCCGCAAACACACACGCTCCGGGTGAGGGAAGGGAGGAGCGACACACGCACTCCCTTTCCCACGCACATGGTACCCGCGGAACGGCTCCCAGTCTTCCTAGGCCCTTGTACGCTAACAAGACATCCGGGGCAGCTCCGGTAACTAGGTTGGCAAGGGAGGGGGTACGAGGGAGTTGGGGGGCGTCAGGGCGTGAAGGCGTGAGGGATAAGGATGGGGGTGTGTGGGGACGGCTCAGAGGAAGGGGAGATGAGATGGGAGAGGGAGTCAAGGGAGCGCAACAAGGCCCCCGGCATCATCCTTGGTACGAGTCAATGTGTGGTCGGCACCCCTTGGGCAATGGGGGAGGAAAAACGAGAAAAAGAAAAAAAGAAAAAGAAAAGAAAAGGCTCGCTCCCACGAAATCCCACGCCCAGGTCCGACACGCCCCTCCCTCTTCGAACCCGACATTCCCACACTCCCACTCCCCTCCTCCTCTTCCTTCCCGACTCTTCCTCTGCTCCTTGACCGATGGTTTGCAAACGGGGAAGGAGGACGAGGGTGATAACGGGAGGTGAATCAACGAGAACCAAAGGTCGTTGAGAGGACCAAAAAGGGAGCGGAAAAAGAAAAGAGAGAAAAGAGAAAGGAAAAGTAATGCGAAAACAAAATCGCCTGCGACACGTAGAAATGCATTTACTCGGAATGTTACAGAAAAGAAAGAAAAATACCAAAAAGAAAAGAAGCCGAAAAAAAAAAGACGAAACCTGAAATGGATCCCCGGCGGGGAAACCTTCTGAGCCACATGCCAGAGAGAGGAGAGAGAGTTGACGCTCTCTCAGCTTCCCAAGCCCAAAGCACAGCCAACGCAGCTGGCTTACTCCGTTTTTCGCCTCCTTTCAACACGCCTTCTCCATCTTCCTACCGCCCCCGAAAACAGACATCTGAAGCATCAACATGTGCGTGGCATGTGGGACATCCGCCATGAAATGGAACACAATGGCATGAGCCTTTTTGTGTTTTCCTTTTCTAAACTAAAGAGATGCGGGAAGAGGACCAAGGGCGCGAGGGAACAGACTGGTTCCGGTCGGTTTTCTTTTTAGCTTTTATTAATATCGCCGACTTCAATCCTCGAGCATGTGCTGCTGCGGGAAATGCCCACACGTGCACCACCTTTGCCTGGATATTGTCTTTTTGATAGCGATCAATGATACCGAATCTCACACCGTCTCCCCCATCGTCGCACGCGGCGAGAAAGCTTGCACCGCCATGAAATCTCACCGGCGTCGCAGCTTCCCTTTTGCTGGCAAGTCGCTGCCGTTGGGTGCGGGTGGTCTGCTTTTCTTCCGTTCTATTCTTCATATTTTCGATTAAAAACTAACAAAAGAGTTTGGTGGTGAATGTATCTTCTTGATGCCTTTCCGTCTTTTCTCGTCTCGTTTGTCCTTGGTTTCTCTCCCGCCCCTCCACCTCACACCTCTAACCACGCCCCCATAAGGCGGTGAAGCTGCCGGAGGTGCGCACACACACATAACACAGACACACACACACACACACGCACCATACTTGTTCCCACCGCTTGCAAACGAAGCCGATAAGAACAAGAGCGGGGAAGAAAAGAAAAAGAAGAAAAAAAGAAAACGGATGTAAAACAAAAAAGAAATGGTGGGAGGAGGGGGGAAAAAGACAAGACATTGAAAGAAGGAAATGGGAAATGCATGTCGCTGGTGCAGAAAACAGGCTTTTAGCATTCTTTCCGTGCTTGCCTTGCCAGGGAACCACCTCAGCGCAAGACACGATGCTGACGTCCGATAACAACGACGACGACAGGACGACGACGACACTTTCCCTTCGCTCGGCTGCCTGAAAGCAGCACCCTGAATCCCTGATTTCGAGCGTGCCGCCGACGTTGCCCGTTTCCCCCTCCCTTCAAGTTCCAACCTGTGTCTCCTGTACGATGTACGATGACCCGTCTGCTGGTTCGATGACATCGGTGACTCAGTCCCTGATTAATGCCTTACAATCGAGCATTGATGTTGGCCCCCTCCCCTCCTCTGCTTTCTTTTTACCCCCGCGCCTCATCAGCGACGACCCCTTCCGGGAACTTCGCTTCCCCTCGTCAGAGTGCATGTATCACACTAAAAACCTACGTCGTAACCATCGGGCTCGGTGAGGACGAAATCGCACGCGTAGGACCGTGATGGTGACGACGAGTAGTAAAAAAATTGCGCCGAGGCTTTTGCGGTGCTAAGGCGCAAACTGTTCACTGCGTCCTTCCCCGCCTCGGCCCAACCTCGTGAGAATACCACTTGCCTCCGAAGCATTGATGGAAAATGGTACGGTGGGCTCGGTGACGAGGGAGCATTTTCCAAACAGAATTCCTTTTAGTCTCCTCCACCCCGGAGCGCACTAAAAAGACAGCAATTGTACCGAGTTACTCCACAGGCACTAGCGAATGGCCCAGAGAAAGACGTGCTCTCTCTCAAGTGTAGTCGGTGTGTGCTGGACGAAGGCCCGACATGCCCCAGCGGGAAAAGGGCCGCAAGCCTAATGAAGGACAGCGTGAAGAAAAAAGGGAAAACCCTCCCGGCTAAGAGAATATCCCTGGTCGCCTCCTGCCAGAACTCGACTAGTTGCCAAAAAATGGGCCCTTAAAATGGAGCCTCAAGTTTTACCGAAGTTTAGGTGCTTTGTTATTATTCTTTTCTTTCCACGCTAGTCCGAGGACTCGGTTTCTTCCTTGTCCTTTTTGCCCTTCTCCCCTCTAGCCTCCTCTTGCCCCTTCTGGCTTCTTGGGCCGTAGGCACAAATCCCGACCGCCCCAGTAATCTAAACGGGGAGTGCCACCGGAAAGCAGAGCAACTGAGAGCCTCACGTCGCAATGCTGGGGAGGCGGTGGAAGTAAACCCGCCTCAGCGCCGCCGGCCTCAGACGAAGCGGAAACCCTTCTATATTGTCAAACCACCCCCTTGGCGGGGAGACAAGAGGGCGCCGGGATTTGACACCCGACGGAAATGATTACGCCGCCCGCAAAATAAAAGATCAAAATGGCAAGACAGCGGTGGAAGAGCGGGGGAAAAAGAGAGAAGGAAGAAAAACAAAAGAAAAAAAAAAAGAAAAGAAAGACGGGAATGCAAATCCACGATCCAGAAACCCATGAAACCCCAGAGACTTCCAAGGTTATGGAAACGGGGGATTTGTCGTTACCGAGCCGAGCACAAGGAAAGGGTTACGAAATTGGCAGCGCTCAACCAACATTTTCCCATTTCTCATCTCCTTGTTTCCTTTCTCAGGTTTCTCTTTTGGCTCGTCCTTCCCTTTCGGCGAGACTTTTCCCTTCCTTGCTTCCTTTGGTCCCCCTTGCGCGAAAATGCTGGGGTTCGCCGTTCGCGTTGGGTACCGGTCAAGACACACACACACACATTCGCTCACTCACTCACCCACACAAACCTGGGGAGTGTGATTTGGGAAAGGGAGGGGTGTAAGGTCCTTAAGAAGGGGGTGTGTAGGAAACGGGGCAACGGGAGCGAGACAAGAACAATTGGGGAAGAGCTTCCCCGAGGTAGCTCACTCGCTGGGACCCGAACACCACTCTCACACGGCACACAGGCTTCCTCGGTGTAATTGTCATGGCACTGGCTAGTTCCCTCGGTCCTTGCTCAGACCTGTTGAAACTGGAGAGACGTTCCTAACCACACATTGACAGACGGGCCATGACTGATTGACGGGCGAGGCATGTGTGTGGGAAAGCCCGCCGGAACCACATCCTCATCCCGCAAACCACTGGACGACACCAACGACTCCATTGTTGGATCTCTTTGGTTCTCCCTTGCCCCCTTTCTCGCCCAACAGGGGCGCATCCCCTTCCATTCACGGCGCCCAGCTCTCCCTGAGCTCCTGAATCCGGCCACCTAGGCGAGCAAGAAAGGATGAGAGCATCTCTCTGGGGCACCTCGCGGCCGTCTTATTGGCGATTCTCCACGCTTTTCGCTTCATCGCTTCTCAGGAGGCGAAGTCCATGGCGACCAACCATTTCAGCAGACGTTCGATTGATATCCCCCCTTTTCTCTGGTGATGGATATACAGGTGGACGTTATTAGCGATGACTCCCTTTTTTTCTGGCGGGCACCCGCCCGGGCGCATCCTTGATTTTTAATATGAGGCATCGCATGTGCTGTGCTCCCTTGCCTCATAAGCTACATGATTGAGTGCGCCCTCCTTGAGAGGTGTGCAATTGCCATCGGTGATTGGAAATCATTTTTTACAGCAACGCGTGTTTCCTATCCTCTCCCTTCTCGTTTGAGGGCCATTTTGACTCATTTCGACACGGCTGGGCAAACGTCGTAAGCCGAATGAACCATTTGTTTGTAGATGACTGCCTGGTGTGTCGCAAGTGCCCCTCCAACCAAAGAGCCCGGAAAACTAGCCTATCGCGTCGCGTAGTTTGAGTGAGAACCTGCA